AACCACAGTTTTAATAGTAAAACACAAAGGGCTCAGCCAATGAGACACCTTTATGGAGTGGCTTTGCTGCCAAAACATTTATTCTCCCATCTTTGAAAAAATAAAATAAACAGTTCTGGTYCACCTAGCCAAGAAGCAGCTGCCACTTTGAAGAAAAATGTGCATTACTGCACATCCAAAGGCTACTGTGATGTGATATTTCAGTGCTGGGTGTGTGGAAGGAAAAGAAACTGGGTGAGTTTAGTTACCTGGTTAAAGGGACTGTTCTCAATTGAGAAAGAAGTAGAAAACAAGGACTGGATGAGGATAGATCTGATTTAATCTCCTATATAACTTGAAAAAAGACAATAGWGTGAAGAATGGAGGTTCAGATGTGAGGTTTCTACTGAAACCTTTTGAGCAAAGTAAGCAGGAAAAATATTCAAYTGAATTAATAACAATTTTGGTGTAATTAGAAAAAGAAAACATGAAAGAACAACCTTTCAAAGCCAATAATCAAATATCACTATCCAAAGCACTGAGTAATTAAAGCAGGTGGCTTCTAAGTGTAGAGACTACAGTTATGAATATCCAGGCAACATTTGAGAGAAGAAAATCTGAGAAAACAGCAGCTATTTCCTAYAAAGTCATTTCTAAAGACAGATAATGATTTTGCAAAATTATTTGKTGACTGCCTGTAATTTAGATAAACTCCCACCAAGCATGAGCTCTCTCCATGGTGGGTGCAGTCAGATATTGGCTCTTGCAAAGGGAGCCACCGTGGKGTGAGTGAGGAGCACACCCAGAGTGCCCTTCACCCTCTGGAACAGCGCTGGGCACGGCTGCACAGGGCACTGCTGCACCCTCGGGCTCCAGAATTGCCATCACCTCACACCAGGAGCTGCTCCCGGGCACTCAGCTCCACCAGGATCATGTATCTGTGCAAAAACATCAAACTCAAACATCAAACAAGAACTCTGATCTTCCTGCTTGTCTGACTGCTTCATTTCTCCAGCGGTCCCATGAAATGTGCATCACCTTGCAAATGTTTCTTCCTCAAGTTTTAAAGCTTTTAAATACCTGCCTGGGCAGCCTATTCCAATGCCTGAGCATCCTTGCAGTAAAGAAATTTTTCCTAATATCCAATCTAAACATCCCCTGGCATAACTTGTGGCCATTTGTTCTTGTCCTGTCTCTTGCTACTAGGAAAAAAGATCTTTAGACACCTCACTACAACCTCCTTTCAGACACGYGGCAAGACCATGACACAAACATTCAAGAAATTCAAATTCCTTAGCAGACAATATAAACGAGGGTCACATTGTCTTGAGCTTGAGAAAAGGAAGTAAAACAAGATTTTTACTCACAAAGCAGAGAAAGAAGTTGCCAGGAGATGGTGAAGCAGAGAAACAGCATCATTATTGCAGCAAAGGCTCCAACAGAGACCACTTGAGTCAGCTGCCCACCCCATTAACCTCCTAGTGGCCAGCCCTAAGAGGGAAATCCTGCTGCTAATGAGCTCCCTGACAAGCTTCCTTCGATTTGAAGGCCCAGGATTTAAAATGGGAGATGGAGTTCATTGATACCCAAGGTTCCTGATGCTCACTGTCAGTTTCTGTGCTCCAACTCCACTTGGGAATAACATTATAGTGAATCTAACAACAATAATAGGATTTATATCCCGTGCCTCCCCTCTCTTGGGCAGAGAGCACGGGCAAAGCTTCCAAGCAAGAATTGGCCACTTAAAACAGCGAATGAACAAGGAACAGCTGGAGGAGGAGAAGGGTGGCAGCCCTGCTCCCAGCACCTCAGCTCCTGCCAGGGAGGGGAAGAGGGGACAAGTTTCTCTGCAGAGCCACTGTCATGAGGCCTCCAGCCCTGTCCAGTCCAGCTGGGATTRCCATTTAATGCTGTTCAGCTCTGCACTGAGCAGGCTGGCTGGGAAACCTCACAGSGTGGTGACATCTGCATGGAAACGAGTCAGGCACAAAGGCTGGCAGAGGCGAGTGGCAAAGAAGGGCTGCAGGTTTGGATTTTTGAAAAATTCAGTTTAAACTGAGTCATTGCCCTGTGATAACTCATTAAAGTCACGCTATAAATTAAAACAGGAGCGTCAGGCAGAAAAACATGCAGCACATTCTGCAGGCACCCAGCAGCGCTCAGAGCAGCATCTGCAGCCTCTCAAGAATGTCTTCTGCTCTTTTAATAGTTCTCCTTGGTGGGGTGTGGAGGTTTGTATCACGTATCTTTGTGCCGTTGCTGGCTCAGAAATAGTGCAGTGACTCAGTGGTGACAGCAGTGACAGTGCCCAGCCCCACAGCCCCCTCCCCACCTCCAGCTGCCCCCCTGCCCCAGGAAGGGCTGCAGGGGGAGGAAATCCCTCTCTCTCCCTGCTGCAGCTCCTGCTGCTGGCACACGGCGTGTTTGATCCAAAAATACACTGAATTTTCCTGTGCAGGATGCTCAGAGCGGGGCTGTTGGGCTGCAGAGCTCCACCTTGGAACGGGATGGCCCTGCATCAATGGAGWGCCCTGGAAATGCCCTGGAACAGCACTTATCCTGCCCATTTCTAGTGGAAACCCCAGCGTGACAGGGAGCACTGGGAAAGGTGCAACCAGGGAGCCTAAAATGCAATGATTTTGAACCTTTAACCTTAATCTGAAGAGATAAAATGTTTACTCTTCCACACAGATCTGCAAAATATAATAATCTGTGATGGTTTATCAATGTCCACTTCMTAGGAATAGACATTTCCATGCTTTGGAAAAGCAATCACTGTGAAAGTTGCAAATTTGGCAATTTCACAGAGGTTTTTGGGTTTCTAGTATCTCTTTTTCTTTGGTCTTTTACTCCCCCAAAACACTCTTAGTGCTTTGTCTCCAATCAAAACACTCTGTGCTAACACACCTACGATCATCACTTCCAGGGGTGACTGAGGTACAAAGAGGAAAAAGAGGGAAAACACCAAGAAACAAATTCAGTTTTCAAAGAACTGTTAATCACTTGTTATTTTAACATCATTAGCTATTAATCCATAACTAACCACAAGGGTCAGACCCCAACAAGTCCTCCCAGCACTGCTGTGACTCGTGCCTCGCTCAGCAATATTTACCCACGGATTGAGCAAYGCTGACCATGACCAGCTCGCAGTCTGGCTTTACAGGGCAGCCTCAATTTTGACATTGACCCCATTGCTAAGCTGTGCTTGCATGTAGACCTTGGCCTTGCTAAACACTCTCATCCCAGCCTCTCATATCTGCTTTTTCAGTCTCAGCATCATCACACCTTTGCTGGTGCTTCAAAATAAAATAGTTTATTACTTCTTGACATTGTCTTCACACTGTCTGGATTTTAAATGTCTTTATTTTATATCTCCRACTCTCTTCTATAGTGTCGCCTGTTTAGTTAATTTCTGGTTTGTGGTTATTATACAGAGACATGTCCTACTGAAATACACTGTATAATACACTGTAACACTGTATTTATTGTGTGCCTTGAGGGGTAAAGAAGCAAAGTTGTTATAATCTAATTTTGTRCACATATGTCCCTTGATTTCACTGGGAAATGCAACTGATGTGCTCAGTGGCTCGCCAGCAGTCACTGCAGGTATTTTAGAACCATGGCAAGTGTCCCTTTCTCATTAACCAGCTCTGTGATCCTTCTCATCCCAGCAGCCCCACGAACTCCGATCTGAAAGCACCAAACTGTGTGAACGTGCGAGTACAAACCGGAAAGGGTCTCCCAGAGCACATAAAAGGCAATTCCATGGGCTCTGCCACACCCAAAACTCATCTGGGCCGCATCACAAAAGCCACAATTCCTATTTTTGGTGTCCCTGTCCGTGTCTGAGCCAGGGCAAGCCGTGAGCACGTGCTGCAGCCTCCAGCTCCCCTCGCTCCGCTCTGTGCCGAGGACTCGTGGGAGCCGCAGCTCTCCCGGCTGCTCCAAACTCTGATACCTCCTACCAAAAAGGAGCCGTGGGCTGAGCAAGAAAGTTCAGAATCCCACTCACTTTGGAGTTCAGCTGTGGGAAACACAGCGTTTGCTCACTGCTGAGAACGAGGACTTTTCTGTGTCAAATGGTGACACCAACACCTTCTTGAGACTTCCTAAGGAGAATGGGGGCTGTCAGCTGAAGGATGACTTTAGGGATAACTGCAGACCCCTGTATTTCCAAATACTTCATAAATGACAACAGGAACTCCAAAAAAAGGTAATATCCTCAATGCGAAATAAATACACTCATCCCTYCTTGCTCTGCCCTCAAAATGCCTCTGAGTATTTTGAATGGTGAAAAACAGAAGGGTTTTAAATCCCAACAATCCCCAGATTGAAAATCACCAGCACTTTGATTCAAATAATTCACTGTGGTGATTTTAACAGCACAAATCCTGCCTTCCTCATAATATTATGATGCCCCTTTTTTGCAGGACTTCAGGAAAATTAGGCAGATTCTTGAAAAAGAATCTCTGCTCTTGACAGCATCCCAGTGAACAGAAGCTGTTTCTTCCCATTTTTCCCCTCCCATCTCACAGGGAACAAAGAGAATTTTCCATCTCTCAGCTCCACAGATTCCCCCAAGGCAAAAAGAAGCTTGCATCAGCTCCTGAAAATAGTTGCATGGTATCGCCTATGCAACTGCTTCACATTTAGGTCAAATCTTGAAAAGAGCTTTAAAATGCAACCAGAGCTGGTTGAGATTTTATGAGAGAACCCTAAGGTGTATCTGAAATTTAAATAAGGCACTAAGGGGACTATGGAGAGGCCAAAGATTTCAGGTCACTGGGAAGACAACTAATATTTAGTGTGTGACTCTTGCCAGAACAGAGCAGTGATTTTGTGACAARAGATAAAGAACAATGAACTTTCAAAGGAACAAAGGTTTCCCACCCAGGAAATGCAGGAGCTCTGCTGTGCCCTCTGACAGACAATGAGAGATGGAAAGGGGCAGTAAATGGGAAAGACAGAAAATAAAATGACAAATAAACACAGTCTTACAGAAGAAATTTAATCATCTAAGGCATTTAATAATGGCCTGTTTCAAAAAGTAGGGGGGTTAGGATTACAAATATACAATGTGCCTTTCCAAATTTTCTTTGCTGACTACTTGCTAATGCTGGTTTTACTGTCTTCTTGTTGTGAAACCCGTATCACATTATCAGAGCTGTTCACAGAATAATATTGGTGTGTTGGGGATTTGGAAACCGAGCAGGCATTTACTCCTATAACTGACAGTCTGACAATGCTTCATAAAACTGAAATACATAAACAGCAAAGATACAACAAATAGTTTTGTATTTTAATCCAATCTTTGATTTCATCCTAACATTAATTATAAATGCCTGAAAATATTCTGCAGTCCCTAGGGAAGTTTTCTTACTGTTTTGGATGAGTTTGTCAAATAGTTACACTGACAAGGCATCAGAAATTTGCCATATTATTGCCAACACAAACCATTTTAGATGTTTATTGAGAACTACAGAACACACAAGGTTGACACTAGATCCTCCTTGAATAATTATGTTTAAAGTAACTCGGTGCCTCTCTGCACAGCCTGGGTAACCAGGTGCTGGATCAGTTTTGTGATACTTATTTATATTTGGATGATGTTCTTTTTTACCTGGGGGCAGTTTGCCATGAAGCAAACACTGTGCTATCCCCTGATAACGCTGTGTAGAAATAAACTCGCTGCTGTTAGCAGCACCTTCAGAGAGGGGATCTGCAGGAGTGGGCGAAGGGGAGCTGCTCCTGTTGTCACTGTGGCACTGAGAGAGGGATCATGGCTCCTTCGTGTCTGCTGGTGAATGACAGATCTCGGATTCCGCTGAAAACCGAGGCAGCAAAGGGTGGGCAGATGAAACTGGAAAGGGAATCGTTCCCTCAGCGTTTTGTGACACAGCATCCCAGAAGTGACCGTGCTGTCTTACACACCCCTCCTTCCCCTAAACACAAAAATCTCGGCTTCTTTTACAAAAGGGAAAAGAGTAAAAGGCTTTCCCTACTGCATGCAGATATAATTTCAGCGTTCAGCACTGTCCTTTCATTCAAAACATGTAATTCTATTTTTATTCCCTGATTATCTGGCAGAATTCACCATGACCCAAGGGAGAGGTTAATTTTTGTACTGAGTATCCTATTGCCATGTGGCTCRGGGAGGGGGAACATCGCTTCCCTTCATTTAGAAATTAAAATGCAGATTTTTTTCCTGTTTATAATTAATTTCAAATGCATATTATATGCTACTCCTTTTAAAGGCAAAGCATTACTTACTTTCAGAAATGTACAATCCAAAAAKGTACTCCTGAATGTTTTATTTTGGAAGTGGAAAGGTTTTTAAAATARGCAAAAGTAAATATTCAAATACATTTCATATTGCATGTGGTAGGAGAGGCTCCATACAACAAAATACGGATGATGCAAATCCAGCAGTTAATTTCTTGGAGACATACAGTATAATATATAGACACTCCCAAATCTGGTCTTGTGTCATTGCCTGACCCCTTTGTTATCATTAAAATCCAGCTTACTGTATTAATTATTAATATTTTATTTTGCTATATTGATTGTTCAAGTTAGGAGAAAAACCACCAGTTAAAAACTACTGACTTGCAAACACTGCAAGACCCTAAAACCTGCAATCTCTGAGGATAAACACATATTTATTTTTTGAGAAAACGTGTCATTACCTGCAGTTGAATCAATGCAGAATGATCGTGCAATTAAACAGTCTGAATTGAAATTTAAAGCTGCAGACCATGATTTTCCCTGCTCCCAGTTCTGCTTGAAATCTCTCACACCTTTAAAAAAATATAATTAGCTTTAGATTTCCCCACAATAAATAACACCAGAACATACCTTGTGCTACCAACCTGAATTTTWAAAAAATGTAAGAGGCCACCTCAGTGTTTTGAGTTCATGAGATCTTTCAGACACAGAGCCCTAACTGAGTTTCCCGGACAGAAGGCATCAGGAAGGCTCATCGCTTATGGTAAACTTGGGCTTTAGCTTGACAGACCTCTTCCTTATGGTGCCTTTAGGGGACAGCGGCATGGTGTCCATGATGCTCTTGTCCTCCTCCAGCTGCCGGGCGGTGCACGAGGGCGTGGGCACTTTGACCGTGTTGCCGAATTTCGAGTAGTCCACCGAGTAGCGYCCGTCCTCCTCCGCCACGATGGGCACGAAGCGCTGGCCCCAGAGGATTTCATCCGCCAGGTAGGAGGTTCTGGCCTGGGTGGTGATGCCGGTGGTCTCCACCACCCCTTCCAAGATGACGATGATCTCCAGGTCCTCGTGGTGGTGCAGGTTCATGGGGGAGATGTCGTACAGGGGGCTGTTCTTGTCTATCACGTGGTAGATGATGAGCGGCGACACCAGGAAGATGCTGTTGCCCCCCACGGGGTTCTCCATCTGGATGTCGATCTGGTTGAGGGGCACCACCTCGCCCTCCAGGCTGGCGGTCTTCTTCACCACCTGCATGCGGATGGTGGCACTGATGATCATGCTCTTGCGCAGGTCGCCCACTCGCAGCATGAAGCACAGGCGGCCCTCTCGCAGCGCGATCACCGCGTGTTTGCTGAAGATGAGGGTCTCGGCCCGCCGGTGCGCCTGCGACGTCTTCATGAAGATGCAGCCCAGCATGATGGCGTTGATGACCAGCCCCACGATGTTCTGCACGATCAGCACCAGGATGGCGGCCGGGCACTCCTCCGTCACCATGCGCCCCCCGAAGCCGATGGTCACCTGCACCTCGATGGAGAAGAGGAAGGCGGAGGTGAACGAGTGGATGCTGGTCACGCAGGGCACGAAGGCGGCCGCSGAGCCCGCCGTCCCCTCCGCGGGGTCCCGCTGCAGCCGGGTGCTGTGGTCCAGGTCCCCGTGGGCGAAGGCGATGAGCCACCAGACCATGCCGAAGAGCAGCCAGCTGCACAGGAAGGACATGGTGAAGATGAGCAGCGTGTGCGGCCACTTGAGATCCACCAGGGTGGTGAAGACGTCCTGCAGGAAGCGCCCCTGYTCGCGGATGTTCTTGTGGGCCACGTTGCAGGCGCCGTTCTTGCCCACGAAGCGCGCCCGCCTCTCCCTGGCGCGGTAGCGGGCGTGATCCGGCACATCCTCGGCCAGCCGGGTCAGCACGTACTCCTCGGGGATGATCCCCTTCCTCGAGAGCATGGCTCCCGGGCCGCGGGGGCGGGCGGAGGCGGCGTGGACAGCGAGTGCGGTGCGCGGAGCCGCCCGTGGCCGTGTGCGCCGGGAGCGGGGGGGCGGCTGCGCCCGGCGGCGATCGGGAACGGGAACGGGAACGGGAACGGGAACGGCGCCGCGCAGCCCCCGCTGCCGCAGCCCGCCCGGGAGCGCTCCCCGCCGGAGCTGGGGGCGTTTCTTTACCTTTTCACCCTCCTTTTTTATTTATTTATTTTTTTTCTTCCTCCGGAGGAAGGGTTTCGGGCCGCGGTTTGTATGTAAACATTCGATGCAGGATGGATTTGCTGCCTTCCATTTGCAGGGGTTCCCTTTGTGGGATGCCGCGGCTTCGGGTCGGGTGATTATTCGCTGAAATGGGGCGGGGGAAGGTACTGGGCAATTWAAAAAAMRAWTTKKTWWWAWWAWWAWWAKGATAATTAYAGTAATAATAACAACAAYAACAAAACAAAGACAATAATAGTAATATAACAATATAATAATAGTATACTGGAATTCACCTGTCGTTTGGCAAATAGGAGGGAAGCATTCCTTGATAAATCAGGCCAGCAATGGTAGGAAATTTGCTTGAAGAATCTAAATCAAATGCTATAATGGTTGAATAGAAACCTGGAAGTAAAGGGGCTTAATTCCACTTAAAATTTTGCTAGAGTTAAGTAGAATAAACACAGGTGGTGGGTTTTTTTTGTTTGTTTGGGTTTTTTCCTTTGGGTTTTTTGCCTTTTTTTTTTTTTTTTTTTTTTTTTTTTTCTGCACAGAGTAGACCACGAAATTATGTGGGCTTTGTCAGCTCAGGAAAAGTTGCAGTAAAAGTTGCAAAAAAAAAAAAAGATCCAGCTGCAAAGGGTTAACCCCCAGTGACATGAACTTCCAGACAGGCATCAAAATCCTCAGAAAAGGCAACAAAGGGAGGCAGGAAGAGAGAACTTGTGGAGGACACGGTGATGTCTCTGTGGTATAAATACATACATGGGCATGCCTATGAGGAAGTATCCTCCTGACAAGATGCATTAYTTAAAAACATTCTGATGTGGCTTCYCCACTGTGTAAACWGCAATACTCTCATTGATGTGTTTGCTTCCTCCGTTTCAATATTTTGTTTCAGTTTAGACAACAACATTGTGGAGTTGCTTAAGCATCCCAGGATATTCTGGGTAAGMGTTTTTTCTTTAGAGCCAGTGGATTTGTGAATATTTATTTTCTGATTGCATATGTCCATGGACTTACCCTTCAGTTTTGGCTCTGARTGCTTTGGTACACACTGTAAACAGCTCTTGGCATTGATTCCCTGGGCAAGGCAATTGTCCAGAGGATGTCTGGGTATCAGCCAGCAGSGGCTGAAATTCACTTTCGCTACCTACAGCTGCTTAAAGCGGCCCACCTAGGGGTTTTGGAACAGGAGTTTGAAGAAATCTCTCTGAGCAGTTGTTACAGGTCTTGCAATTAAATGTTCACTATTTAGACTATTTCTACTCTTTATTATGGATAGTGGCATGTCCAGGCACACATCAATTCCTTTTGGAGGGGTCACTTTCCCAATACTCATGCTCTTTCTTATTCTGGTCCACCTTCCTTGCTGCTTTGATAAAGCTAGAAAAGCAACAAGGTGCCSTGGCCACTAAGCTTAGCCAAAGGTGTTTCCCCTTTCTCTGCACCCCTTTATCTGCTAGCCTCTCTTTATGTACTTGGTGTGAATGTCACCTGCACCTACACTTTTAATTCGTTATCTACATGATTTATATGACAATGGAATTTCTTTTAAAAGTGTGGGGTTTAAAAAAACCCAAACATTTTCTTTCTAAACATTAAAAAAGGAGAAAACCTAACCCCCAAAAAGGATGAAGTAAATCAAAGTTTTCCTCGTCAAAGGTGTAGTTCTGATGGAGAGCTCTCTGATCAGAGCTGATTGCAGCTCTTGTCTCCAGCATTTTGCAGTGAGCTCAGGCTGTGCCACACCATGCAGCTCACAGGCAGCGTTTTACACCCTTGCAGACATGGACCCAGGGATTCAAGAGGCAGCCCTGACTTTTGTGCCGTTTTTCCTTTTTTTTTCTAACCGTGCTCTTATTCTGTACCTTTTCCTCCAGAGGGCGGTAACTCCATAAATGTAGAATGGATAAAAACCTGTAAAAGTTTTTAGAAGGGGAAAGAGGGTTTCAGAGGAAGAATTGCTGCATTGCCTGGTGCTAGGAGGACCAGGGGAGGGGTGCTTTATGAACACACCACGCTGCTTTTAGGAATCCTGAACTCTCTAGARCAGTGCTTCTGTGTTTCCACTCCTGTTCTGTAATGCAACTGTCATTTGCCACTTACTTTTTCTTCACCTCTGAGCACTTAGGGGCTGAGATGGGGTAGGAAAGCAAGTGGCTTCTGCTGAAGAATTTCTAGAGCAGAATAAAAAGAGGCCCTGTCTTTAGGGATCAAGTGACAGATACTTAAAAGAAAAAAGTGACAGATCTTCTGAGTGAGCCAACATATTTGTGTTAAGAGCTGCTGAACAAATCGGGCTCACAGGAATGAACAATCCCACTCTGTAGTATTGAATCATGAGGGGTAAGTTCTTCCACCCACAAAATAGGTTTTACACTTCAAAACTCTCCCCCCGCCCCAAATTATCCTAATTTTAATGGGTAKCAAATAAGATCTTAAGTTAACTGTCAAATTAAAATTTAGTTGTTGCCATGTCATTACTGTGCCTTTAGAAGCTGAGTAAGGCTTCAGAGGCTGCACAGTGTTGGTCTAACAGAAATTAAGCCTCACAAATCACCTTTCAGTATGGATAGGTGTCGAGGGAAAAAGAGGTCAGAGCTGGTTAGGCAAAGCCACAGAGGAAGACATGAACAGGGCTGGGAGAGGGCTGATGAAGCAGGCAGGCTGTGGTTCCTGGCCCCACTAGGACAAGGGAATAAACGCTATAAAGGTTTTCATATAATGGGAATATTTGTACAACACAAACCAAAACCCCTCTGGTTGCACATCATGGGCAGCCTTTCCCCCAACACCTTTGGGACTGAACCGAGACCCATCYCACAGGAGAACTGAAAGTCTGGCCTTGGCTTGCTCAGTCTTGCAGCCATYTGAGTACAGCCCTTGGCTTAGTAATGCCTCACTGCCACACAAACACACGATCCTGCTTCAGCAGTGACTCCTGGGCTGCCCATCTCGTGGCAACAAGGTTTATTGACTTGGGCAATGTCAACCAGCCACACACCACAGAATCACGTTCTTGGGTACAGCTCCTGGTCACTGGTGAAACTCTTAAYCCTTTGGAGTTAGGGGCAGGAACTGCCTGGGACTTGGCCCCATATAAACAAGACCATATAAAATGTCTGACAAGAGTGGCAGCTAAGAGCCTTCCTGTTCACACATTGATTCAGCAGTGTGGTACCATTAAAAAGATGAGGAAATGTTGGATATGAACAAACTCACCCCACTCTCCTGCAATGTTGCTTTGTGAAATACAAACCCCATTAAAAATGGAAACATATGACACTTGTGCTTTGAGATCTAATTTCTTAATATTGCAAGATGGAGTACAGTCTCCTTAGCAATATGCTGTGTCCTTTCCTCCCCTGCATTCSCTTCTGGGTAAGGTTTTCAGAAGCTGGTGGAATAGGACTGAGTCCRAACTGCAGTGTCAAATCCCAGGCACTTAATTGAAAGCACATGAAACCTCACTTCCCTGCCTGTCTGCCCTTGCCATTAGAATGCAGCAGCTTCCACAGATGGCTGCAAAGCCTCTGCAGCACGGGGCTGAAGTGTCCTGCAGAGTGTTCCTAAGCCATTAGGAATTAGTGTTCCTAACCATTAGGATCATTACYGGGTGAGATCCTGCCTCAGACCAGGAATGGAAGCTTGGAGACAGCACACACGGCAGCTGCAGCAGAAATGCACTGTGAGCCCTTCTGCTCTCACTTCTCCTCTCTTTGCCCTAACGCAAGCCTGGCATCCCAGGCTGGAAACACACCATTAGTTCTGCAGCCATTTTTTTCTTGGACACGGTCCAGCAAACGCTTCCCTGGAGGAGGACAAAGCTCCCCAGTGCCCATTTTCTCTCTTAAAGGGCAGTAGGCAGCAGCAGAGCTCATGCCTTTCATCTGCATAGCCATATCCTACCTCCTGACTTTCACCACAGTTCATTCCTCTGCTGCCACTTACCTGCCCTTCATTACAGCCCAAAAACCAGCAGGCAGATGCTGCAAATACTCTGCTCTGGAACTGGGAACACCAACAGCAACAACTGTCCTTCACTGTGCCTGGCTCTCTGCTGCAGTGCCAGAAGTAATGCCTTAAAATATCACATATCCCACAAGAACACCGAGGTGTCTTTTTCTGAAAAACAGTCTTCAAAAACAGGTTCTAAACTAATTGAGCTAAAGTGAGAAAAAAAAAAAAACCAAACCAAAATAAAAAGAGTTCTAAGTGCTAGGAATCCTTTAAACAGGGGAAGTAATTAAAAAAAAATGGAAAGGCAAATTTGCTGTAAGAATAATAATGGGGGACAATTCCATTGTGTTACTGACMTTCTAACCCACTAACAATGACTGTCCCAGGCAGGGATAAGTAACTGTCTAACAAAATGAGGATAATTTCAGTGGTTAAAAATTGTCTTAAGTATACAGAATTGATTGCTAAGGGTYCCAGTGAATCTAGAAACAGCATGACAGTGGGTGAAATATGTAAAACTGGGAGATGATGAGTCAAGCTCTCGTGGCCCTGAGCTACAGTGAAAGGTTTAATAGTGTTTATTTACCAGACTTGGAGGGATAATTTCCAGATGAATTGGTACATCTGCACTGGTCTGGAAACAGTGTACATTAAACACTGATACTTTATCACAACCTGCCTCCTCTCAGCTTCTTCACAGTTTGGGATGGAGTGTGCCTCCATCCTGTTGGAATCACTGTAACGGTGTTCAAAAGGCATAAAGAKGGAATCAGACCATGATCCATTTCTAGATGGTATGAAAGGAGAGTCTAAGGAACAACTCAGGCACTATCAATAAACCACAGTATAAAAAA